GAATATCTTAACATTTGTATCTATGATTGAAATAGATCTGTAATTAGAACACAAAGTAGGACTGCCAGACTAGATATAACTATGATATTTGACCAGGTAAATGTTGAAAATCATTCACTGTCTCTGCAGAAAAATAGAAGATAACAAGCCAATATCCTTTAAAAAAAAAATCAATCCACTGGAAACGAGCAGAGCCAGGAATTTCCATTGATTTCATAATTTAATTGTAGCAACACTTTCTTAGACACAAGAGATGAAGATCAGTAACTTTCTCTTTTGATAAATGTACTAATCTCATTTTTGTTGGAAATAAACTATTTTGTAATGATAAAACATTGGAACAAGACTATTAAATTAAATAATGTAATAAATTAAATATCTTATTACCTTCGTATTTGGTAGAGTCTAGGGAACGGTGGTCAGAAGATTTCGATGCATAATGGGTTAATCATTTTTTTAAACTTTCTGTGGAAAAATGTAACCTTAACCAATTCCTGCTTGGCTTTTTTATGGAAACATAAGGGAAATTACAATCTGGAATTAATGCTGTGTCAATGTCCTATAAAAAAGACAATGCATAATATAATGAAGTCTTATTTAATAATTTGAACCCACGGGCTGGTTTCATCATACTGGAGCCGCGCCCACCCCATTGCCGGCAATGGCGAAAAAGCTCCGATATGTTGCACGACGTCACGTGACGTCGCAAGTTTGACATGTCTAATCTAGTTAATACCCTATCTTTCAGCAAAGATACATTCAAGGACTACTTTAACGATAAATTTCCCAGTTTATTACATAAAGCAGTATGACATGTTAAATGTGTAATAATAGGCCTGCTGAAAAATTTTGATTAGATAAGTTTGCACTGGATGTAACTTACTATAGCTGCACACCAGGGAACTCTATGTCACTTGGGAGGCGTTTTAGCTTTGAACATCTTAGTAATTTCTAGTTGATAATATTCTCTTTGTGAATAGAAGAAGCCCAGCATGCAGGTGGTCCTCAACTTACAACCATTTGTTTATTGAGTCATAATGGCAGAGAAAATAGTGATTTATGACCAGTCCTCACACTTACAATCGTTGCAAGATCCCCATGGTCACATGTTCAGAATTCAGGCCCTTGGCAACCAGCATGCATTTACAATGGTTGCAACATTCCAGGGTTATTTGATTACCATTTGCAACCTTTCCAGGAACAAAGTCAATGGGGAAAGCCAGATTCACTTAACAAGTCCGTGAGTCACTTAACAATTGAAGTGGTTCAGTTCAGGAGATAACAGGAGAACAAATTGAATTTAAAGCTGAATTATTTTTATTAGGAATAATAAATCAAAAGATAAAGAAGCGACTCCAGTATATTATTGTACACATAGTAACAGCAGCACGTATTGTCTATGCTCAATGTTGGAAATTTGAAAATATACCAGCTAATGATATGATTATCCATAAGATATTAGAATGTGCTGAGATGTATAAGCTCACGCTAGAAATGAAAGGCAAGGAAGAAACAGAATTTTATGAGCTGTGGGATAAGTGGTATAATTGGTTAGAACAGAGAAACAAAAATGTATAGTAATAAATGTAAATAACTGTAAGAGATACATGACACAGTACTGTTAAAAAAATATTTAATGTTTTGTAAATTGGAAAAATGAAAAAAAAAAACAAATTGAAGTGGTTCACTTAATCACCATAAGAAAAATGGTCATAAAATTGGGCATGACTCACTTAAATGTCTTGCTTAGCAACAGAAATTCTAGTTCCAATTGTGGTTGTACATCAAGGACTACCTATAGTCCTTGTGCTTTTTTAGCTATTTTAGTGGCTGACTTAGTTTCTCTCTTTGTGATCTGGAAGACCACACTCTTTCTTTCTTTCTTTCTTTCTTTCTTTCTTTCTTTCTTTCTTTCTTTCTTTCTTTCTTTCTTTCTTTCTTTCTTTCTTTCTTTCTTTTGGTTTCTATTGATGTCCCAGGGATGCTTACCACTTTGGCTCATCTTTGAATAGATCCATAAACTTGGTCTCTTCAGAGCTAATAATTAGCTTCTTCTCATCACAATAGGTTCTCCTGAGTCCAATCTACTTTTTTTAAAAAATAGTAGGCTGCATCATTTATCTATTACTCCAGGGGCAGAAGTGTGAAAGTCCCTTCTGGTTGGAGTTAGAATAAAAGAAGTCAAGACCATTTTGAATAAAGCAGAATCCAAAAAGTAGTCCTGTTTTGCCCCTTTGTTTATTGGTATTCTGATAGAGATAGATGGTGCTGAATCTGATTTGAAAAAACGTTTTCATATGGCATCTTTTTTAAAAAAAATAATCAATTTGCATTTATTTACAATGTAAAAATATCAGATCCAAACAGATAGAAAGAACATGGAGAAAATGGCCAGGGAGTTAATAGAATTACAGTCCATCCTGGAAGAAATAAATCATGTAGATAGGACAATTATAATAACAGACTCAAGCCACTGGAATAATTTTCACCAAACCCTATCCATAGATAGAGATGAATGCTGACTTCAGAACAGCCAACACAACATAGTATCATGGGGGTGAATAGAATCTTTTTCTGCTCAAAAGTACAAGTTATTGCCCTCTAAAGACTAGTTCAGTGAAAATAAGATTTAGAAAGGTTATTTTGTTTTAAAGAATTTTAACAGGTTTGTGAAAGTCAGTTATTGACATATTCATCCATAACTACAATCTCTCAGCTGATATTGTATTCTGAGCCTCATCTGATCTGACACTTGTGATGTTCTCTAGTGGTGTCCAAAACATTTCAAGCCATTTGAATTAATTCCCTGTTTGAAATTGTTTTGAGCGTCAGATATTCTATCTTGCACTCAAAACACTTCCAAAATAATTAAAACATCCCCTCTTGTGCTCAGATAGCCATTTCACACTTGAAACAACCATTTCAAACTTGAAATGGAATGTTTTGAATGCAAACTGGTTCAAATTCAAAACGTTTCAATTATATCTCTCCTCATCTCCTTGACAATGTCCACCATAACCTTTTCAACATTTCTCAAAACTGTTATTTTAATGGATGAAGTTTAGTGGAATTTCTCAGGTGCTGTCCAGATAAATAATGAACCAGGGTTTTTTTTCCCAATAATTAAATGCACCTGTTTCCTATTCAGTGTTTTTTTCTGGGTGAGTATTTCAGCATTGGATAGCTTTACTAAAAGATAAAGAAGAGGGAACAGTTTGTTCATTACAGCCAAATCTTCTGTTTTTAATCTTGATCTTGTTCCATTTCTTTGGATTTTCCTTGCTGGTAGTCAGCTGACAATGTTCCTTTCTGTGTTTGCATTAGGTAAGAAAAGCAAAATTGTCAGAATTTGCAAACAAAATCTTTGTTTCTATGATAGGAATCAGACAGCATCAACTTGAGTTTTATCTTAAGATTCATTAAGTAAAAGAGAATGAGGGATTTGACCCTTGAAAAACAAAAGTGGCTTTTTATTTAGAGTGCAATCATTTATTGCATGTTGAGGACTCCAGATCTGAAAGTAGGATGAGTATTTTGTTGTGAAAGCTTTAGAAATGGCACTGTGTTCATTTTCTGACAATCTTCAATATGTTTGCAATCTTAAACTGCAACATACCTGGTGGCCAGAGCGTTGATCATTTGCCTCATCTTCCAAATAAGGGAAGCCCCTGTAGTTTTTGTACAAATTTGTGGCATTGTTACTGAATAAATTTAAATAATTAAGCTATTAAGAGATGTTGAGCATGGATGTCATTAGTCATGCATATTGGCATCTCCACCTGGCATATTTGAGCAAATGCCATGTTTCTTGCTGAGATCTTCTCTACTCTCTCCTTTTGTCGACCCAACTTCTGGGCAGTTACAAACTCCTATATCTAGCAGGGTTTTCTCCCCTTCATTTTGGCACTCTGGGAGTGCCCCTTAATTTTCACCTATCACTGGATTTGCAAATGGTCGCTATAGGCAAGAAGCACATTAGCAAAAATATGCCTAGCATAGCTGCTACAACAGCTCCTCTACCAGTTTCATTTGGTAACAGTTCATGGTGTCTTGCTAAATTAAGAATGTCCACAATCTTCTCTCTCTGACCGAACAGTTTTTTTAAAAGATAAACTGTCCAGAATAGGAATTGGTTATGCAGTGATGTGATTCAGATATGTGAACAACTGGGTTTCTGTGTGGATGCTGCTTCCAGAAGTCCATTCTGGGCCTGGGCAACAAAAAAATAGCTACGGGTTCTGCAAAAGTGGTGCGAACTGGCTGAATCCCACCACTGGGTTTATGGTATCCTTGGCCCATCCCCCAAATAAAACAATTGAATCAAGAAAAAAAAATAGGAAAAATGACATGTAGAAATAATGTAGAATGTGGAATTCAAAAGAAGAAGCAAACATTTATCTTAAGATTATTTGATGGAATGGCAAGAAGGACTGCCTGCTTCATTAATGCTGTTCAGTTCATGGAGCAAAAATGGCTGTATCTCAGGTCTGGTTGGCTTGGGTTTGGCTAGATCTCCTGACCTCCTAGGAGCAGATCAACAACCTGTACTTCTGTTACCAGTTTCCCTACCTTATCTTTGCTCAGCAGACCTAGAAAGGAACTTTGTCCATCAAAGTTAAGCTGTAATGATGTGGTTTTCTGCATCACTCACTTCCTACGGAACCAGAAGCTGAACGTCATCTGTTTTCACATGCATACAGGGCGGTGTTAGCTCCATTTCAGCATACATGATAAATGCATAAATGTAAATCTTACTCACCAAAACAGCCAAATCTTGAGATGAGACCAAGCCATGTGTTGAGATAACCATTCATTTCACCCAAAGGAAAAACAAATGTATTTATTCTCTCTCATTTCTTAGAATTATATCCCACCCTTTGTGGATTATCAGACAAAGTAATCTTGACTAATCAGATTTATCCTTTCCCACCCCATGTTCCTGTAGTTCTTCCAAGCCACACGTGTGGAAATCCAGGAAGGCTTCAGAATGGAATCCAGCAAGGCACAACATTCAGCATTGGAGACAAAGTGCGTTACAGCTGCAACCCAGGTTTCTTTTTGGAGGGGCATGCGTTGCTCACTTGCCATGAGACCATGGAAAATTCTGCATCCTGGGATTTCCCTCTGCCCTTCTGTCGTGGTAGGTGTTCTTCATTGTCTTTTACCTTGGACTTTCTTAATATATACTATAGGTCAGTGATGGCGAACCTTTTAGAGACCGAGTGCCCAAACTGCAACCCAAAACCCACTTATGCATCGTTGGGTGCTGGGTGGGTGTGGCCCATTGGCTGGGTGTGGCCCATTGACTGGGTGTGGCCAAGTGGGTGGGTGTGGCCCATTGGGTGCGCATGGCCAAGGTGGTAATAGCAGACTGGGTGGGACTAAAAAGTTCAATCAATCAATTCCAACTTTGCAAGATCTTTTCTTTTCCCACGAGAAGTTGAAATTGACTGATTGATTGAATCTTTTTTTTTGTACATGGCAGCGGAGGCCTAAAGCAAAAAGGTTTTATAAAACCCAGCTCAAGGCCTAGGACTGGGGTGATGGCACGCGTGCCCACAGAGAGGGCTCTGAGTACCTGTGCCCTAGGTTTGCCACCACTGCTATAGGTGTTGGCTAGGGCTGGGAATGGCTTAGCAAAAATTATCTAGATTAGAGTCAAATCCTATCATAAGAGTTTGGCGTTCTGTAATCATCTAAATTCTGTGCAAAGGGAAAGCTGAATTATGTATCTGCATATATTATCCAACAGGACAGACTTGCATATTTTATTAAACATAATTCATCCACATTATGCTAATATGCACATACAGTGGGAGTCAGGTTGTGCTTTGAACCTCTGGAGATACTATTCATCTATCCTATTCACTTTTGTGATTTCAGCAAGCATGTACTTTTAAATATATATTGGCAACCATAAGAGCCAAGAATGTTTTTTTTAAAAAAAAAAAAAAAATCAGAGTTAAGGTTATTAGGAAACTGAATAATATATAATTTTCCCCTTGAACCTCCACAGAATTGTGGCATATGCATTATCTAACCTAGCTTCATATAGGTAGCCTTGAATATGATTTTCTTCAGTCTGTTTCCACTTTGATTAAGCGCATATAGCAAAGCCATTTGATTCCCTGTCATTGTAACCATTCCACATGGGGATTAATCAGTCAGTTAATACACAGAAGCTTTTACATTATTTTATCATGATATCTGTTCTTCCTGTTCTCTCATCTCTTCCCTCCCTCATATATCCTCAGTATCCTTCAGTACAGTATCTTGTATTGATTTTTTTTATCGAGCCTTTGAGCATGTAATCAATTCGCAATCCTGGGATGGAGCATTGATCTTGCATTTAAATTGAGTCAAGATGGTTTGCGAACTGATAGATAATTCTTGGTGCTTTCCTCAAGAAACACCATAGCTGGGTTTTGTGTCTGTGTGTCTCCGTGTATGCGCACACACACATGCAGGCCTTTAAGTCAGTGTTGACTCCTAATGACTGCCAGGACTAGTCCCTCAAGTTTTCTTGGCAAGATTTCCAGAAGTGGTTTGCCCTTACCTTCTTCCTAGGGCTGAGAAAGAAGGAGCAGCCCAAGGTCACAGGGCTGGCTTTGCACTTAAGGCAGGACTAGAACTCACAGTCTTCCAATTCCTAGCTTTATGGATTACATATCTATCTGTTGCTTCTGTTATGGTCCTGGGAGTTTCACAACATTGAAATTGTACCAGTGAAGGACTCTCCATCTTTCCATTTTGTGTCCTTTAAATTAATATCATTCCTCTTGACTTCATGCTAAGTTGATGGCTTCACAGAAGATTTTTGTTTGTTTGTTTTAACTTGGTTGTATAAAATAATCTTGATATTAGATCATGCTTATTTACATTTTGTACAGGACTGAGAATGGGAGAGTTGCCCTTACACAGCCTAGGTGCATTTGGGACTAAGCCAAACCAGTTTGCTAGTCTCAGAGGCCTTGAGGCAATGAATAGAACCCACTCTCTGAAAAGAATACCGTGCACTTAGATGGGCAGATTTGTCCTTGATATATTTGCTTTTTGTTTTTAATGTTCAAATATTTGGAATATCTTTAAAGATACCATATTTGGAATTGCAATTGTTAATTACTTTTAAAAATATTTCAGTATATGTTTTTAAAGGGTTTTGGGGGATTATGTCCTTTTAAGCTTCGACTCCAGGTACTTATTTGAGTAGAACAGTAGAGTATAAATCAAATAAATAAATATATTGGATTATAAACCATGTTTCTCAGTTCTAAGATACAGATAAGACAAATCACATTTGTGTCTTATCTGTTTAGATTATGTGTTTGTGTGAGTGTGTGTGCATGCCTTTGAGTCAGTGTTAGCTCCCTATAATTGTTCTGAAAAGTCCTTGCAGTTTATTTGGCAATATTTTCAAAAGCAAGCGTTGAATCAATGCAACAAGAAAAATAAGTAATAAAGATCAGACCCCTTGAAAAGAAAATGAGTAAAAATTGTAAAATATAAGAAAGGTTTGGGCCCACAAGGTAATAATTTTGTTCCAAAAATGTTAACAAAATTAATTTTCTTTGCCCATAAAGTCCTCTTTTGATCTCCACTAAAACATTTAAGGTGACAGTAATACAACATATTGGATTCATGATACTAATTCAGAATCTGTTTTATTTATTATGATGGAATCTCAGCCATCTCAGATTTTTACACCATATCCTGAAGCTTACTTTTATTTCTTTAATTTATAATTTTATTTCTGTGGCTACTCACTCATATTCAACTCAACTTAGTGCACTGACTGAACAAGAAGTGTGGCCATTTGGAAATTAGCTGTATTCCTGGCAATATATTAGGGACAAATATATTTTTATACTATACTGTGGGTTGGGTTTACACATCATGCTAGAGTATGCCATACCTTAGTATGATGTGTAAACCCAGTTCATAGTGTAGTATCAAAGTATATCCTAAAATAAATTGACCCTAATGTATTGGCACGAATATAGCTAATTCCCAAATGGCCACACTTCTTGTTTCTCAGCATTACAGCCCAATTAATTTGATTCTGTGTGTGGGAAAAGTGAGAGGACAAAGTGCTCTATACACCTCCTCAAGCTCTGAAAGAAATATGTAAATCTAACAAGTAAATAGAATTTTTAAAACTTTGCTTAAAGCTAAATCTGATTGCCTGTGGTCATTTTAAAAACAGCATTTTAATTCATAGGGAGGAGATATTTATTCAACAATCTTCATGCTTGGTCCCAAAGCTGTAGCAGATGCAGAGTGGAGTGACCGGGATAATAGATGGGACGTGTAGCCTTGTATATGTTTACATCTTGGTTGAATCAAATTCACAGTTTCCAGTTAGCTTCCAAAGCCACATTCAACAGGTAACAGATGTTGGTCTTGGACTGAGAAAGAACCTCAGTAATAGAAACACATTAGGGACTCTACACCAGTCCTTCTCTCTGTCAACTCAACTCACTCTATGGAGTTCCTGTTGTGGGGACAAAACGAAGGGAGATCACTGTTAACCTTTCTTGAGTTCTTGAGGTAAAAGGTAGGATATATATTTAACAGAAGTCAGACTCCCAAAACCAAAAAAGACATGGAGAGTTACTTCAAATCAGTTTCCTTTGTTGTTCCTCAACAATAGACAGAAATCTTGTCACAGTAAAGCAACTAGTTGCATCATTGATACACTTTGAGAACGTCTAGAGAGGAACTGCCTTGACCCTCTTCCTCATAATCAAACTACCTAAACTTCACTTTCTCTCAGTGCAGTCCTTCCCACCTAGGAGTCCAGATTACATTCCACTTCACAAATGATGAAATAAATAAATAAATTTAGGAATAAAGCTGGCAAAAGCTTAATTGCATGGATGGCTTCCCAGCCAGGGAGCCCCCTCCCAAAGTTATTTTGGTAAGTCACTGACACTTTGAGGATAGAGAAAAGAGATTATTCCCTTTCAGTTCTCCGTAGTTGTTATGTGTCTCTTTCTTGTTGGTGCTCATTAAGGCTTGATCATATTTTCATAGGAATCTTGCGTGGTTCCCTTGAAATTCCTCTGATGTGTCCTCATAATGCATTTATGATTTCAAATAAGAGAGAGATGTCAGAGGGTATGTGAACATCTCCTCAACAAATTAGGTTATCTTTTATCAAGCGTCCTTGATCTTTCTGGCTTCATGTCATTGCAAGATCCTTCCGTACCCACTGTATATTCTAAGTGAGTCCTACTGAGAACGGTTGCTGACAAAAAGTCTATTAAAGCAGCCTCTCCCCTCTAGTTGCCTCATGGACCAATGTTTCCTAGGGGCAATAGGAACAGTAGTCCCACATCTTGAGAAAGCATGGGGTTTGGGGAAGCCTCATTTGCCACCAGCTTTATTCTCTTTTCCTGTAAATGGGCTATTTGCAAAGCTGAAAGAAGAGCTGATAACTACCCCTTTTTCCTTGATATGGTTATGTAGCATTACCCCCTCGTAGACCGCCATAGCCCAAGCCCTCCCAGCCACACTACCCTCCATTGCACTCAGCAGCTGTGCTCTCGAGGTGTTAATAACCATGACAAGTGTCTTTTCCAGCGGGAGCTCACACAAAGCGAGGACATGGCAGAGTCTCATCGTCAAGGGGGGGGGGGCTTTCAGGAACAAAGATGACCAGCCCTAGCCCCGATAGTCAATGCGTGGTGGTGTTTAACAGACCAGGGCAGTCGTAGCAGCAATAGTCAATGATTTTACAGCGACTGTTCGGGAACAAGGGGGTGGGGAAAACCCCGGCTCCAGGCAGCACTGGGAACACTAGCGAAGGTGGTCAGCATTCTGCAGTAACAGCTCGCCCTGCAAGGGCAATTCCCCACAATGTCTACAACTTGCGCAAGTAACAGTAATCAAAGTTTGGGAGGCCGCTAGTCTCCAAAGCAGTAGTGACCAGCCTCTCCTTCTCTTCTGTCCTTGCTCGTGGTCCCAGGTCTCATCGGTGTCAAAAAACCCTCCCCCCTTTCCATTATTGTTAAAATATGAATTTAGCAACCCCAGCAACTTTATCTCTCTCTCTCTCTCTCTCTCTCTCTCTCTCTCTCCTTTGCTCAGGGTATCCCCCCATGAAAGAAAGCAATAAAATTCCACCTTCTCACTCTCTCC